GAAGTCGAGCCCTGATGACACTGAACCATTGTTCCCTTTACTTTTTTCAGTTTTCTGTGTGATTGGATTAATTATGTGTCACTCACTCAACGCTATAGGTCAGCAGACATACATTCTTGGTCAGAAGTCATCAATCTATGCGACCGTGGAGATGAAAAGTCAAGCGTGTCACCCAGGAAGCTGTACAGAGAGGGATCAGACCATTGATTTCAGGGCCAAACCAATCTTACCACAACCTGCTGCCTTGAAAACTGAAATTATCCCTATGGTCATGGTACACGGAGCTTTGTATATTAGCTTTGTAAAAAGAAAAGAAAAAGACTAATAATAGGTTTATCTGGTAAGTGCTAAATTATTCACTTCCCTGATTCCAAACTGTCAAGAGAGGGCTACAGAATGGTTTGATTCAAAAAAGAAAAAATGGTGTTGTGGTTAGACTTTTTTGGACCTTACAGGTGCTGGTCATAAAATTAGAATATCATGAAAAAGTAGATTGATTTCAGTAATTCCATTTAAAAAGTGAAACTTGTATATTATATTCATACATTACATACAAACTCATATATTTCAGATGTTTATTTTGTTTAATTTTGATGATTACAAATGACAACAAATGAAAATCTCAAATTCATCATATCAGAAAATTAGAATATTGTGAAAAGGTTCAAAATTGATGGCCCCTGGTGCCACACTCTAATCAGCTAATTAACTCAAACCACCTGCAAAAGCCTTTAAATGGTCTTTCAGTCTAGTTCTATAGGCTACACAATCATGGGGAAGACTGCTGACTTGACAGTTGTCCAAAAGACGACCATCGACACCTTGCACAAGGAGGGCAAGACACAAAAGGTCATCGCTAAAGAGGCTGGCTGTTCACAGAGCTCAGTGTCCAAGCACATTAATAGAGAGGCGAAGGGAAGGAAAAGATGTGGTCGAAAAAAGTGTACAAGCAAGAGAGATAACCGCACCCTGGAGAGGATTGTGAAACAAAACCCCTTCAAAAATGTGGGGGAGATTCACAAAGAGTGGACTGCAGCTGGAGTGAGTGCTTCAAGAACCACCACACACAGACGTATGAAAGACATGGGTTTCTGCTGTCGCATTCCTTGTGTCAAGCCACTCTTGAACCACAGACAGCGTCAGAAGCGTCTTGCCTGGGCTAAAGAGAAACAGGACTGGACTGCTGGTGAGTGGTCCAAAGTCATGTTCTCTGATGAAAGTAAATTTTGCATTTCCTTTGGAAATCAAGGTCCCAGAGTCTGGAGGAAAAGAAGAGAGGCACTTCATCTACGTTGCTTGAAGTCCAGTGTAAAGTTTCCACAGTCAGTGATGGTTTGGGGTGCCATGTCATCTGCTGGTGTTGGTCCATTGTGTTTTCTGAGGTCCAGGGTCAACGCAGCCACATACCAGGAAGTTTTAGAGCACTTCATGCTTCCTGCAGCTGACCAACTTTTTGGAGATGCAGATTTCATTTTCCAACAGGACTTGGCACCTGCACACAGTGCCAAAGCTACCAGTACCTGGTTGAAGGACCATGGTATCCCTGTTCTTAATTGGCCAGCAAACTCTCCTGACCTTAACCCCATAGAAAATCTATGGGGTATTGTGAAGAAGAAGATGCAATACACCAGACCCAACAATTCAGAAGAGCTAAAAGCCACTATTAGAGCAACCTGGGCTATCATAACACCTGAGCAGTGCCACAGACTGATCGACTCCATGCCACGCCGCATTGCTGCAGTAATACAGGCCAAAGGAGGCCCAACTAAATACTGAGTGCTGTACATGCTCATACTTTTCATGTTCATACTTTTCAGTTGGCCAACATTTCTATAAATCCTTTGTTTTTATTGGTCTTCAGTAATATTCTAATTTTCTGATATGATGAATTTGAGATTTTCATTTGTTGTCATTTGTAATCATCAAAATTAAACAAAATAAACATCTGAAATATATGAGTTTGTATGTAATGTATGAATATAATATACAAGTTTCACTTTTTAAATGGAATTACTGAAATCAATCTACTTTTTCATGATATTCTAATTTTATGACCAGCACCTGTAAGCCCTTAAATAGATAGCTCAGATTACAACAACATTACTACAGGACTGTAAATGAGATTTTCCTGACTGACTTTTCTCTAGTTTAGTTTTTTTGTTGTTTTTTTTGTCAATAAACGATTACAATATCCAATGAATATCACGTAAATGAATAAAAACACATTTAAATTATTATTTATGTTTTGGAGGAAAAAAATGATCAAAAACAACCTCCCATTCTTCTGTCAAAAAGCAGAAGGTAATGAAAGGCCTATTGTTAAAACATATAAAAAACTATGGTAACTTTTTATTGCTATTTTTTTTTATCTATTAAAAAAGACGGAAAAGCAGACTCCAGCACCCATCATTATCTCTGTAAAGTGCTTGGGGTGACATGTCTTGTGAATTGGCACTGTATAGATAACCTGAATTGAATTGAATTTTAAGTCATACTGTAGTTAAATCGAAACTAAGTGATTGCACTGGCTTTTTTTAAATTATCTGAATCTAATACATAACATTGTTGATAAAAATCTAATAAAATCAGGCAATTGATGGAATACCATCTGTTCAAAGGAGGTTGATGTTCAGTTTGATACGTGTATTTAATATACAATTTAGCAATGGGCAGAGAGAAACAATATCTTAATAATCAGATTGATTTAGAAATTCTTTCTCACACCCAAGTTGTTAAAATTAGTTAAAAGCGTGTCAGATATTGATGCAATGGAGATACCCCCCCTCACCATTATTCATGCACAGGGTGCATGTGAGGCTGTGGCAGTCAATCTTACAACATTTGCATGGAGCGCAAACTGCAAAACTAGAACTAACCAATCCCTAATCCTAACCCTAAATCTAAACACATGATTGTATACTTGTTACCATAAACTTTTAAAGATACTGTACCAACAGCAATGTTGTATGCTAATTTTTTTGTAGCAGGTCACTTACGTGTAAATCTCTCAGACAACATGGAGTAGGCTAAAGGCTTTCAAGAAGGATCATATCCAGTCATACCAAGTATTTGAAGAAATTCAGTCTTTTAAAGTCTTTGACAACTTTCAGTTTGGAAAATGTTAGGAAGCTTTTTGTAAGATTTTTGGGCAACAGCACAATGAAAGCTATTATCCAGCAATGAAGAGAACCAGATAAATGTGTGAAGCTTTCCAGGAGTGACAACCCAGCCAAATGTATTCCAGGGTAGCAGGAGGTTACAGAAGGGCCTAGGTCATGGCAACCACAGAACAGGATTATAACAGAGGCAACCAGACTTTCACTCAGTTTTTCTACAAACAGTTCACACCTATCCAGGAGTCACTGTCAATTCTGTCACTTCCACTGGAGTTGGAACGCTGAGGATGTTAAGCACCTGCAGTCCACCCTCCTAAGCCCATTCCAAGTCAAATGCAAATCAATGACCTATCTATCATTCTACTGGGTTGTTGGAGTGTGTTGTTTTGTATGGGTTTTGTGTTTGGCCATTTGAATCATCATGAGCCTGCTTGAGTGATTTCTTTGGAATGAGTTCCAGGACAGAGTGGTGGATGTTTGGAAGCATAAACCATGTACCTGGCTTTTCTCTTTAAGTTGACTCCCTTCATTTCTCTTTCAAACCATCGTTCCTCTCAGGCCACATTCAGAGCATCTTGGTCAGACATAAAAAAAAAAAGAAAAATTTAGCAAACATTCAATTACCTCTGATTTAAGCCTGTTATATAATTAATTTGTGGAATCATAGTACAAAATATTTCTGGATGTTCTAATAAAATACGAACTTCAAGGAAAATCATTTCTATTTCAAGACCTGATTATTTGCATAATTTCTAAAACAGATGTACTGTATAGTTTCTTTTTTCTCTCTTTAGCACTCTGAACGAGAATTACAAGAAATTAGTTCCTGACTTTCAGCTCAAACACAAATGCGTTATCAAGTGGCACTGAAGTCCTGCTATCATTGTCTAAATAAAACAAATTTAAGTTTTATCAGCGAGTTCATGTCCAAAACCATTCAACTGCCTAAACAGCAAATCGTAGCAGTTGTTTCCACCAAGGATAGTTTTACTTTCATGCAACTTAATTTGAAAACTGCATTTTATTTTTAGGCAGGTGATCTTTGCCATATATTAAACATTTTTTTATTTTATTTTTTTTTTTGCTGATCTGAAACATTTGAGTGACTAAAGAACAAATAAATCTGTAAAGGAGAAACTTTTTTTCACATCACTGCACTTTTGGCACAAACGTTGGCTTATAGAGATCTGGTAGTGATAACGTGCTCAAACAATAGAATAACTGGTGCAAAACGTGACAGAAGGCAAGGACAGACTGAGCAGGCTCACACCACAGACAGACAACCTGCTGGCTGCTGACGAACCAGCGTTATTGTAGCTCAACTCACTCCACTATCCTAAATGGCTAATCTTTGTTGGATCTCACCCTTAATTGGTTAACAGTCTCCGCAGGGCAAGGGAAAGTGGTGCTATTTAAGGCTCTGCCACCAAACAGCAACACTTTCATCTTGGCAATAACGGGCAACAATTATATTACCAGATTCGAAACTGAGCCATTCTATCTAGCCACTAATCAAAACCGCGGCCCATCTGTTGTGCTCGTCTTGCTCTGAAACCCTGTGATGTATGTATGATAAATGCGCGTGGACGCTAATTAGCGGCTAAACAGACCGCAATTAGACGGTTTCAAATCTGCGGAGAAAAGTAGAAGTGAGAGTGGAGAACAATGAGCGCGTTTTGCGTTGACTCAAAGTCTACTAGGATGGAGCAGCATCACTCTTCCTCACGCACACAATCAACACGCAGCCCCTCACTTGCACGGCTGCGCGCTCTCTCCCTCTCTCTCTCAATCACGCGCATTCAGTCTGGCAGGCAGCCTCGCGCGCGCGCGCGCGTCAGCGCACGCACTCACTTTCCCTTAGCTATGCTTTTGTGTTTTGTCAGAATTAATGAGAAAAGTTCCCTTGCCCTAGGGGTAATTAGTGTCCTTGGAGTTAAATAAGCTAATACTTAGACACCTCTGGCACAAGCAATTATGTTTGTGTATTGAATAATTGATTCAAAGAGGGGGGAAGGGCTGCTAATCAGATCTGAGCATAATGAATTGATTTAATTAACAGGGGAATCCGAGGGTCTCTGGAAACTGCGCGCATTTATTCAGCGGTAGAAAGGCGAGAGCGCGGCACACAAACTGGGAGAGAGGCGGCGCGAGTTTGCTTTTAGCAGTTGTCAGCTTCGCAATTGGATTTGTTTGAATATATAGATGCCGTTTCGGAGCAAATGAGAAGGCGAAAGGGAGAGCATTAACACCGAGAGAGGAGAGAGCTCAGCTGGTCCGAGCGTGTGGTCCGTCCTTGCGTGTGAACTCCTTTACGCAGATTTACTCTAGATTTATCTCGCTTTTCATTGTTTTTTTTTTTTCGTGTCATTTTTTTTAAATTTAAAATTCGCATGGAATTTATCAAGGGCAACCAACGCGGTGTTTATTTGCATTACAGCTCAGCCCGAAAAGAGGGTTTTCGTCGTGTTTATCGCTGCATTCCGTGTTTGAATTATTATTGATAGGAGGTGCAGAAAGCGATACGTCGTTCCAGGTTTTCTCCCCCCTACTCCCCCTTTTTGGTTTAGCGAGGCTTAGTCTAGTACTCAGCCGCGCGTTTCAAAGCAATTTCCAGGAGAAGTGGTGAGAAGACGGAGCAGTGCAGCCTGCTGGAGCCGAGGACGGATCGCCCGGGGAAGGACTCCTCGTTCCTCAGGACGATGGTGTTGGACAAGGAAGAGGGTGAGTAACACCCATAGTGGCAACATGCTATAATAATAACCCGGAGGAACTGCTGACATTTTTACGCATTTTGCGTCTCCATGGGTCTCGACCTCATTCAATCCTCCTTTTGTTTTGTTTTTTTGTTTTTTGTTTGGCAGGAGTCAGTTTTCCATGAAAGTTCCCCAAATGCAGGAAGAGTTGCGTGTTTATTTAAGAGCGCATTTGTTGTGTTGCATTTTTTTTTCTAGGGCACACTCTCCTCCACTCTTTGCTCCTCTCTCTAAGTGCTTTTTGCGTCTGTGAAGTTGGCGAGGCAGCCTTTGACATCACACGGGATGGGAGATGACAGCGGAGTGCTTTTAACTTGATTGCAAATTATGGATAGCGCCGAGCAACGTTCGCTCACTTCCCATCGAAATAGGTCTTCTTGCATTACTTATCTATTTCAATGAATCCAGGTTAATGGGTGAGGCAGTCTAATTAATTTTAATTTGAATCAAACTTGCCTCTAATGACGTCCCATTTTGGAGGAAATGCTCAGATGCACTTTCATTTATTCAGCATGATATCCACAGTAGCCTCACTGAAGGTCTTTATGTGTCCTGAAAGGAGGAAAAAGTCTCTTTATTCTGCACCTCTTTAGAGGGATGGAGGAAATATGGACCACCTGCTGGTATACACAGTGACAGCCTTCATGGACCATGTACCACATCTCAGTATATTTCTGCTACAAGCTGAAGTTTATCCTCTTCATACAAAAGTAATGGATGCATTTGGAACCCATCATTTATGATAGAAAATGGACATTTCATTTGTCTTAACAGTCCTTCTTACCCTTAAATATCTTAGAAAGGATTGCGGTGCAGATATAAAGTTTTCTGTCTGGCTCAGGCCATGTTGTGATAATGTACTCAAATTAACTCAACTGTAAATTGGCCCCTTCTTCGGATGTCCATCTTGCTAAAAGTTCCCTATATGAATCACAATCCGGATTTCTTTTAACAGTTATTGGCTAAGCAATATGGTAAATGTACAAGGTGATGCAAATGGCATTAGTGGGGAAAGGATGCACAGGAGCATGTAATGCAGTCAATACTACATTAAGTACTGATGCCCAATTACAGAAGCAGGGAGAGAGGCTTTTAGGAGCATTAGGACTTGCAGAAAAGCTGAGATCACCTGCTGCTCATTGCCTAAAAGCTTCACCCTTTATTTGCTGGGTTCAACCCACAGCTTGTGAGGTTTTTTTTATTATTTTTTCTTTTTTTTGGCGGGGGGGGGGGGGGGTCCAGGTTGTCAGCACAGCAGGTTGGTTCTGGTCTCGTTCACTGTGGTGTGCCCTCTTAGGGTTTATTGGCTCTAAAGTTATAGACTTGTCAATTCAACCTTCTTGTCTAATGCATTCTCTAAGTGCCTGCATGAATAAAGGTGTGCAGCATGGGAGGTGTGGGTCGGTGTTGTAAAGGGGCCACACGGGTATATGAAAGCTCTGCTTCTCTTGATTGATTTCTTCATATATCGGTGTGTGTTTGCACAAATAACTTGGGTGTTCCTGTTTTAGTTGTTTCACGAGTGGATCACTGGTTTGTTCGCTGATGTATTCAAAGATTACGGTTTAATTTGGCAGCAATGCTGCTTGTTTGGCAGATTGGTTTTAGGATTTGCCTTCTCTTAGGGAAATCTACAACAATTTCAGCTGTTACAGCTTTTACCAGATATAACATTTTTGCAGCTCTTTTTTTAGACATTTCCAGGGGAAACTGGCTTCATCCTTATATTCTACTTCTGCCAAAGTGCCACAGAAGTCAATACATTAGGTAAAAACTAAGGACCTTTATCAGTTTTGTGTTAACTTCTGTCTCCTTACAATCCATAATTTTTGTAAACTAGGTGAGTTTTTCTCATTTTGCATGTCTTTTATTACATAATTTTGCATGCACACTCTAATCTATTTACTGTTTTTTACAGATTTTAAGGTTTTAACTTGCATTCCCCACTATACTTACTGAGATCAGTAAGGATGACTGTAAAAGTAGCACAGGCACCGCTCTTTGAAATGACCTAATATGCGTGCTATAGTTGATAATGAATAGCAAAACATGTACCAAAATATTCAGTGTCAACATTTTACTTCACCCTGTGATATGAGGCTCCAATTTGCTTCTAATTTGAGAGAAGAAAAAAATAGCAACTCAGCTGTTTTCCCTTTTAACTATGGCAGAGGAAAGTGGGAGGACGCTGAAGGCGTATTTTTGCTGAATATTAACAGAATCACAGTTTATTCCTGCTTAGAAAAGGGAGCGAAAAGGAAAAACCTCTACCAGCTGATAAGTTTCTGGTCACCTTTACGGGTTAATTTAAGATCCCCTTAACATCCTGTCCACTGGAATTTCTACATTCATAACACATGTGATTGAAAAGTAATGCTTCAGCTGAATACAGCCTTGGCAAGCTGTCGGCCGCTGTAATAAAAGTCGGGCTTCAGGCTTCGATATTTATTTTGAAATAATAAGAATTGCTTCATTCTTTACCCGCGTTGCCATGGCAATACTGTCTCATAGCAATGTTATATTGATTTAGAAAGTGGACAGTAATATTTCTTTTCTGTTATTCAGTTTCTGATGGTTGATTTCTAATTTCCAGCTGGAGATTACTTTTATATGTTCCTTAAGTCATTTTTTTCACTTTTTACAGAGAAATGCAATTTGCTTTTTGCTATTTGCCATTTTTCAGCTTATTGGTTCATTCGGGCTTTAAAATTAAACTTGCCTATTTCAAACAGTGAAATTACATCTCGTTTTGTGCTCTAGGCCGTGGACAGTATTAAAATCCCATTGCTTTGTGGGATTTTTTTTTTCCAGTCAGGAGCTTTATTTATTTAGCCAGTCGTTTTACTTCAAAGGAAACAATGGCAGTTTAAATAACTGCAAATATAAAAATACATATATATTTTAAGTAGTTATGCTTTTGATCTGTTTAGGTCTCATTTTTTATTTTAATTAATTTAGTTAAGACATCATATTTGATAACAATACATTGCACTGCACTGGTAATATTTTGCGCTGTCAGGTTACTCTAAAGCTGCTCTGGCTGTTCATTCTAGCTAAGCTCAGGGGAAAAATGTGCTACAAAACCACATTAATGCAATTTTCAGCCCTGAGTGTTTAATTTAATCTAATCTGAGTCTGATATCTCACAATTGCAGAATTCTCACTAGAGACAATTTCGTCTCGTCACCACTAACCGTCTAGATCCTTATCAGCCCTGATCGTTTCACATTTTACAAGTGCAGCAGATCCGTATCATTTCCGTGATCTAAAGTGGAATTCAAAAGGACGGAATTGAGACTTAAGAGACACATTTTAGCGAGCGCACTCACCTGCCTTGGATGTAAATGGCCGCACTCATCAGCGCGGTGCACAAACTCAATTATGCACTCTTGAGCTGCGAGAGCATCTCTTTTATTACTGCCAGGAGCCACATGCTGGCAATGTTATAATATTCAGATTCCCAGTAACAAGACGTGTAGCTGCAACCCAGGTGGCGGGGAGCAGATCATCCCTGTTGGATCATACAGAAATAAGATAAAGTTTTGACGCTAAGCTTAGTTAAAAGATGTGTAAGTGGTAGAAATGTTGATAAATAATGATTATTAACTGCATAACAACCTGACAGGTGTAAACAAATGTTTATATTTAGTTAGTAACTACTCTGTTGGAAACCACTGGAAGAAGGTCTGACAGCCACCCGTCACTGCAGAGCTGACGCATGAGCTGTCTCTGACAACACTCATGTCAAATTGTTGAAAAAAAGTAAAAAACACAGAGTGATGCTACAAATATTAATGTACACATCTCCTACAACATTCCTTCAGCTTTTTGTTAGACACTGATAAGTTATTTATTGACTGCCTTCTGCTCTGACTGGGAGTTATGATCCACTTTGTTAAGGTTACTCTTCAGTCTGACTGTCATCACAGGCGAAGAAAAGGAAATCATGAAAAGAGGAATGACCTGTTGCAAAGTTACTGGGGTGAACCGATGAGCTGATGTGTAAACTACACAGCAATCGGCTATTCTTCAGCAGCTGAGATGCTTATCTCAAATGGACATTGAGATAATGATTTATATACAATATAAATGTTTTTTGCCCTGATGTGTCTTAATGAAACCGATCAGTCTTCTTTAGCGATTTACGCTTTTCAGCAATGGCTAAAGTCCTACAGTTTGTACAATTTAAAAAGCTGAAATGACATTTTTTTAGAAGCACAAAAGTATTCAAAGACATTTTTAAAGGTTTTTGTGCAAATGCCTGTAGTTTGAGGGAAATAAAAATAATTGAATGTCTCAGTTTAGAAAATAATACTTTTAAAGAACTGGCACTGGATATTCTCACAAAAGCAGGTCTGTTTTAGCAGTTACATCATCAGACTTTGATAACATAATAATTCCAAATAAAGCCTAAGTGGTGATTTGATACAATATAAGTGTTTCAAGTGTTGCCAATGTTTAAGCCAGAATATATGAGTAGGTGTTTTTACTTTGTTCCAGAAGTATGGTGTAACAGCAAAGAATAACTAGATAAAGGCTGGAAAACTTGTTATTATAAAGGATTTTGTTTAAATATTTTGGCTAAATTAGATACAGAAATCTCCATTAGTCTTCTGCAACATTTTTTTTTTTGTCTCATGTTATATCTTGTGTTTATTTTGTTCATATTTAGTAGATTATGTATGTACACTGAAGTTTTTTTTTAAAGGGACAGTATGTAACCAATTTGCCTGTTATTAACAAAACTCAAGAATTGCTTTAATAAATACATATTCTGTAATAGTCTAATGAAATCTTGTCAAATATGAAAGTGTTCTCGTGGCTTAGAATTAGAAGTTTATAAACGCACAAAGGGCGGTGCACCCAAGAGGAGACCTGCTCAAGCTTGCCAAGGCTCAATACTCTTTTCAAGAACACAGAAAAGAGTGGACTCAACACACGCTCGGCTCGTCTGGAGCTGCATTTCAC